AATGACCATCATCTGACTGTTATACCTGAGACACATGGACTAAAATGTTTCTTCAAAAAGCACAAGTATTGAATTAAAATGGCTGCCGTGATCACCTGACCATAGACCGAGGCAAGTTCAGCAGAGCAAAACAAAATAAATGAACATGTCTGTACGGGTTGATTCTCTAAAGACATTGAAATCAAACAACTGAATCAGGTTTCAAGAAGCTCAGATCTATATCTCCTGCTTTATTCACCCTTATATGATAATACCACATTGAATATGAAAGGTTTGCTGGCAAATTATACAATTTGGAAAATCAATGAAGCTAAACTCAGAAATACAGACTGAACTATATTTCAACAGCTGTTTTTAAGCAGAAGAGCAGAGAGAAATAAATATGGATTGGTAACCGCGATAACTGAAAGCCTCTCTCCTTCGCTACTCCTCAACATCTCAGAAGACAATACCTGATGGAAAAGCACCTGGGGAATCAGCCGAAGATATCTACCAAACTTCATCATTACTGAGGATACAAGTTAGCAATTAAACAATGTGGTCTCAAAAATTCTAACAGCTCAGGGAGTCTAAAGACTTTTAGATTGTGTTGCCTTTATTCTTCCTGCCTGTACCAGATGTTCTCCCATTTAAATTTATTACCTGTGTTTGTGGGTATATTTAATGTCACATTTTTAGTACTTTTTTTCTCAGGTTTGGAGTTAGTAGATAATAAAGTTGTTCTTTCTTTCATTTAAAGAAATCTTGTATAATTGGATCCTTCAATTTCATCAAGTTAACTACATCCTTAAATAGAGTGTGAAATATGGACATGCTAAAAAAAATTAAAAATATTTGTTGAGGCTGACCAAGAAGGGAGCTGAATGTCCCCTCCATACCTTATCATAACAACATATACAGAATTTCTGATTTCACCAAAAAGAAAATACAACAGCTTTCTATAAAATATGTTCCAGATTTAGAATGTTTCCCTTTCACGATTTCAAAGCATTAAAGCTTCTGCATTCAAAACAGATGTTCATCTATCATTATATTGAATTAAAAATAGTAACTTCAGTGTAGTAGATGTCTTTGGACACTTCTTTAAGGGTCAATGGATATAAGGATGAGTAAAGAAGAAAAGGTAAGCAGAGTTATGGCTAGAGGTAGACTTTGAGAAACTTTGCAACTAGGCTGTGTGGAATTCTAACCCCATCAGTACATTGGACTGGGTCAGAGAGGGAGTGATGGCCAAGTGTAAAAGTAAAAGAATCCAAAATAGAAGAATGGAGAAGGCACGATGTGATATTATCTGGAAGAGGTTCCAAAGTTAGGTTGATGCTATCAGTCAGCAATGGCAGAGGTTACATAGAATGTGTCAACACGTTAATTAAGCAAAAAGATGCATGTTCACGCACAGAATGTTTCAATCAAAATAAAGCTAAGATTTTTCTAATGGACTACCCAGGGAATGTTTCCAGGAATGATGGTATCTTTGGGCTCAATCCCATTGAAATGCCAAAATTATATTAAAAAAATTACCTTCTAGTGATAAAAATCTTGGCAATTACGAGTGTGATGTCACCGTAAGGCCTCATAAAAATTCCTCTGTCTGGGATTTTGTAAGAATTGATATAATGAAAGTCGATGGCCTTTGTTGAAACAGTAGAGAGCAAAATTTGAAACAAATGTGTTGAGTATTCAGGCAATAATATTGTAAAGCATGGACTCAAGGCTGCATTGAACCTGTAGTTATTCCACATATTAGTATTTAACCATATTTCAGAGGCTTTGGGGAGATGGTAGTGTTCCGGTAATGTCGCTTAACTGCTAATCTAATGATCCTGGCTACGGCATATGGGAACAGTGGTTCAATTCCCAACATTGCAGCTGATGCAAATTAAATTCAATTAATAAGTCTGGACTACATCGCTAGTCTCAGTAATGGTAGTATGAAGCTGTTGGAGGGTTCTTATGGTGTAGTGGTAATGTCCCTACCTCTGAGCGAGGTGGTCTGGGTTCAAGTATCACCTACTCCAGAAGTATTTTGTAACATCTCTGAACAGGTTGATTGGGAAAATATTGACCATATAGCCACTGAAAAGTCCACCTGGTTCAATTACATCATCGAGTTGCACAGCATAGAAACAGGCCCTTCGGCCCATCGTGTCAATGTTGGCCAATAAACACCAAACTACATTAATCTTATTTACCTACATTTGGTCCATAGCCTACTATACCTGGGCATTTTAATTACTTGACCAATGTTTCTTAAATGTTGTGAGAGTACCTGCCTCCAGCACCCTCTCAGGCAGCACATTCCATATTTCTACCGCCCTCTGGGTGAAAAATATTTTCCTCAGATCTCCTCTAAACCACTTACTCCTCACCTTAAACTTATGCCCTCTGGTCTTAAACATGTCTGCCCTGCAGAAAAGATTCTCATGATGTACCCTGTCCACGCCGTTGATAATTTTGTACACTCAATCAGATCCTCCCTTGGCCTTCTCTGCTCCTGGGAAAACAAACCCAGCCTATCCAGTCTCTCCTCATAACTGAGACTTTACATCCCACTCACTATCCTGGTGAATCTCCTCTGCACTCCCTCCAGTGTGATCCAGTGTGGTAACCTGGACTGCATACACTATTTCATCTGCTGCCTTGCCAATGCTCTACAAAGACTTCCTTGCTCCTACATTCAATGCTCCAGCAAATGAAGGTATGCCTTCATCACCATCCTGTGCTTCAGAGATCTATGGGCTTGTATGTCGAGATTCCTTTGGTACTCAATATTTACCAGGGACCAACCATTCATTGTGTAAATCCTTTCCTAATTAAACCTCCCAAAAAAATCACCTTGCACTTATCGGGATTAAATTCCATCTGCCATTGCTCTGTCCAGTTTACCAGCTGATTAATATCAGAGTGCAGCCTGAGACCATCCTCCTCACCATAAACAACACCAGCAATTTTTGTGTCACCTGCAAACTTACTAATTTTCCCTTCTCCATTCACATCCAGGTCACTAAGGTACACAACAAACTGCAAGGGTCCCAGCACTGATCCCTGTGGTACACCCATGGTCACAGGCTTCCAAATCACAAAAACAATCCTCCATCAAGGGGAGAGATTGAGAAGGCAGGACCTTCATGGAAACTTCAGCCAGTGTAGGAACTGAACCCCATGCTGTTGGCATCACTCTGCATTGCAAATCAGCCGTCCAACCAACTGAGCTAACTGACCCCATTTATAATTAAAATAATTAACTCCAGAAATGTACACGCAAGTAGAAAATTACTGGAATCATTTTGTAGTTCTGTGGTGATGCTGGAGGATAAGCTCCCGGCCAGGAATGCACCTCCCAAATTTAAAACAGGCTGACTTTCGAGAATCTTTGTGGATGGTGTGCTGAGAGATTCCTGGCAAACATCCACACAGAATGTCCTGGAACTGATTGCAAGGGCAAATATTACTGGGCACTCAGTGATTGTAGGGAAAAGCAATTGCCTGTGGTATGACCAATACCTAAAACATTACTGGCTGGCCTCCAAACCAGAAGATGGGAGAAAAAAAACCTAACCTGACAGCTCCCAGATGTTGTGTTTGGAATGTCACTGGAGCAGGCTTGGAAATTGCAAAGAGGTCGCAAAGCTAATCCCATGGACTGGGCAGCCAGCTACTGGGCACTTGAACAGAGAAGGTAGGGAATCTACTTCTCAACACCCTCAAACAGTTTAGAATTTGTCAGACAGGAAGTAGTATCTTGGCACAAAGATATCCTGAACCCCCTTTGTTGTGATTGTAATGAGGTCAGCGAGATAGACTTCACAGAATATGAGTTCCCTGATTAGTGCTGTCAACCTGGTCCAATCAGGGAGCCCTGGCTGACATTTATAAACAGGAGTGTCAGAGGCTCTGTTCCCTCTGAGAGCTCACTCTGAGGGAATTGGATCATCGTCAACAACTCTCCACGTGTAAATAAAGGTTGACTTGGTGATGGGATACTGAACTCTCTGGGGTTACTTCACCCTTGAATTTAACTTGGACTCAAAGAACAACGCTTCCAATAACTCTCCCTCCAAGAAAACACTCAGGACAAGCACAAGTCAGAAGTTCTAAAAGATGCTCATTAGACACTAACAGGGCAGGAGGGAGTATAAAGGCCAAAACGTTACATGTAGGGAACTAAACTACTCGCACTTTATTTCAATTTTCTCTAGATGGTTGATGCAGTGCCACTTTCCACACTGTAGGGGCACTATGATTCTGTCAGGATGGAGTGCACAAGCAGGTTAAAGATCAAGAAGATGGGGGCAGTGAGGCCAATGGTTGGGTATAGGGTATTGAGTCACTACATCATGCAGATGTAGATAAAATCAGCTGGAGATATCCTACCAATTCTATTCATAAGTTCCCTCTCCATGCGTCACAGCAGCTGTTCCTCAGTAAAATAATTACCTGCAAATCAACAGACAAACCAAACAGGGGAAACATTTAATGCAGGATCTGATAAGAGACAGGTTATAGAAAATGAGTTTCCACCCTGGAACATGAACATAGTTCATTGTTTCCTGATAAACTTGCAAGTCAAGTTACACCCTGGAGATATTGTGCATGTGTGTCCATTTACCTAGAACTATCAAAGAGCAGACAAAACAATCTTAGAGGAGTACATTAACACTGACAAAGGAAATTACACTTGAAGGATGATAACTTGCCTGCATCTTAGCTGAATACCTTTGATTAACAAAAATAAATCTCGGATTTAAAATCATTAACTGACCCAGAATCAACTGCTATTTGCAGCAACATTCCAAACTTCCACCACCCTGTTTTACAATTTGCCTTAGTCCTCTCCTAAAAGGGCTGGCTTTAATGTTTCGGCTATGTCCCATGGTTCCCGGGTTCCTGAGCTAGAGAAGAAAGTGTCTTTTTCTACCTACGTTATAGGTTCCACTGAATATCTCACAAATGCTGATCAAAACACCCATGGCTCGCTTCTAAACTGAGAACCTCCTTACCTTCTGGTATTAACACCGCTGGTTGTTGAGTCTCAGTTGATGGGAAAGCTTCTAAGGGCTGTTGTTCTGGTGGTACCTTGGCTGGAGTAGGTATCGGATCAGAGTGTTTAATCTCAGGATGACTCATGGTAGAGTCAGGAAGCTTCTGCAATTTACTCTCAGACCCAGGCTTGATAGTAACCTTCTTGAAGGTTTGACTAACATGGTAGCCCATTCCACCGGGGCAGATTTGCTTGAAGGCAGCTGTTTTGGACAACACAAAATACAACGTAGCATCATTTAAATTACCCCATCTCACACACCGCTGTATTTGCAATGCTGACTGAACATTTACACGTTTTTAAAGAGTGTTTTCAAAAATCGTCGATATATTTGGAATTTTCATTGCAAAATTTTCAAACGTCTCAAAAAATGAAGACATGATTTACATGTAGCAAAGTAAAAGGTGGCACAAAAGTAAAGTTTGAGGTCTCCTCAAGTTGCTTCAACTACTTGGTTCAGTTAATCAAGATTTATTGGACAATGATTGAATCGTTCCATCGTAGAGAGACTGGTGTTCTTGAGGCGCAATGGGTTTCATCCCTACCTTGGAGCTAGAAGCCATGGTTTCAAGTCAGGGCTTAGTGGTGCAAGAAGGTAAGTTCATAATGTGATCAAACTGGTCATTGAATGTAAACCTTCAAATCCTTCCCATCTAAGCTAATGGCAGGCAGAATGAGTATGACATATTCATGGTCAGTATCTGAAGGAAAGAATTTTGGAGCCCCTACCAACGCTGTCCATAGCTCCAGACTGCAACATGCCTGTTTCCAAAGCAACTCAGACTTCCTGAGTGAACTATAACCCACCAGCCTCTGACACATTGAGAGACAGACTTAACAAATGTGTGACAGTTGATGTATGTGTTCATTCCAATAAGAGGTGGTTTGTTCTGGCCAGCGTCTGCCAAACTGCTGGGACAGTCTTCATAACGCAGCAGGACTGAAAGAGAGACAGTAGGAGAGGTTTTGGCCCAGATGTGGGTGTGGAAGATGGAGATGAGCAAAGTGAGCAGTTTTTACGATTACCCAGCGTAGCCTGTTTACAGGCTCCATCCTACTCTTTGGCTACTTTGACAGGAACTGAATTGGTATAGCTACATGACCCCAAGCAATGGGCAACTTGTTCAAGCATTAAAAGCTGATGAAGACCAACTGGTCCAGCCTTTAGACAGCATTCACACAGTGCATTGGGAGCACAATGGATGCCGTGGATCTAGAGTCACATGTAGGTTGGATCAGATAAGGACAGCTCGTTTCCTCCTTGAAAGGGCATTCATGAACTAGTTGTGTTTTTATGATCATGACTACATGGTTCTAGTAGGTTCATTTTTATCTTCAGCATCCGCCCCGGTGGGATTCAAACCCATGTCCCCAGAATATTAGCCTGGGGTTGTAGATTAGTGGCCCAGTGACATTACCACTCCATCAGCCCATTGGCTACTGCCCCCTGCACCTTGAAGCCCTTTTATTGGACTTCCAGCTTCCACCCTGTAAATGGGCAGTGTAGCCTCTAGGCACGAGTTGCTCAATCCAGTCAAAATTGTTTCTGTCTTGAAGAAGGGGCACTGGACCTGAAACATTAAGTCTGCTTTCTCTGCATCAACAGTGCCAGTCCAGCTGAGTTTCTCCAGCAATTTCCGTTTTGGTGTCGGGGTGACTGCTCCTAACAAGGTGTGGGGTCAGGACCCCACATTCAATTCTCCAAAACTCCAAGTCGTACCCAATGTGTGCACTGGTCAAGCAGCAGTGAAGAAGGCTTGAATGGACTGAATGATGGTGTGGGATTGGGTTTGTATCAGGAAGCCTCTCAGGATGAGGAAAGGTATCCTTCTCACCTGCGCTCCCCATGGTATGCCATTGACGATTGAGTAGATAGATTATTTGAGTTTTTAATATAAAAGTGGATTTAAAAGAAAGCATTGTGTCAGTTTGAACAATAGACAGCAAATGTCACTTTGAACCAAGGAAAAGGAGGAGGCCATTCAGCATTCTCAAGCTTATCCTGTCATTCGATTAAATCACAGCTGACCTATATCTTATCTGATTTGGTTCAACAACCTTTCAGATTTATACCTAACGAAAATCCATCAACTTCAGTCTTCATATTTCCACTTGATTCACTGCCTCAACAATGTTTTGGGAGATGGAGTTACATATCTCAAGTAGCTTTTGTGGGAAGAATGTAGTATTGCTGCACTTAGTAAAATTTTCTTGGTATGGGACGACCAGGAGTTGGGAGGGGGGGTGAATTTCATTGCTGTCTCTCGCCAGCTCCTTTGCCAAGGTAAGTTCAGTGGATGTTTGTCTAAAGGCCTGGTTACCTGGATAAGCAGTGTTACCTCACCAGAAATATGGAAGTCCTGAGGGAATTCACCATCGCCTCGCAATTCCAATGGGATGCTTCACCAAATCACAGAAGTGGTTTGGCACATAAGCAGGCCATTCGGCCTCTCATGTTTGCAGTGGCTCTTCAGCTAAGCATCGTTACCCACTGCCAATTTCCTGCCTTTCCCCCATACCCTTGCACATAAAACCCAGATGTTAACTGTCCATTGCAAACAAGAGAACATGAACAGTTCAACATGATGTCCATTGCCTTCCTGTTCATTATACTCTTCTCTGATAGCAATGTGGCTTGAATTATTCCTTGCATTCGAGATTATTTTTGCTGAATCTCAAGATTTGGGATTTGTCAGCAACGCCAACATTTCTCACTCAAACCTGAACTTCTCCTTGAGAACTGGGATGGCTAAGAGTCAACCACATTGCTGAGGATCTGGAGTCACATGTAGGGAAGACCTGGCAAAGGCAGCAGGTTCCTTCCTGAAGTTAGCGAACTAGACAGGCTTTTACAACAAAGCTGTGGTTCCCTGGTATTCAATCTTGATATTATTTAAGTTTAGCTTGCCCAGCTGCTCTGGTGGAATGTGAACGCACATCTCAGCATAGTTCAGTAACATAACCATTATGCCACTGTTCCCCTTTAATAATCCCTCGATAAATGCCTTCACAGGGCACCACTAAGTTTCCACGCACTGTTTTATCTTGCAGCGCTGTTTCATCCCTATTTTAATACTCAGGATGAAACGGCCTTTGATGTCCTGAACGAAACAAGATGTGAGTATGTCTTCACGTTGACTAATCCAACAACATTCTGCTTCCCAGCTGTAACTCTGAAGTCCTGTCACCTGCCTGTTGAATTTGGCAGGCGAGGGAAGGGGCAGCGGGGTCAAGCAGCTTGATTCAGAAATACACAAGAATCAGGCAAACGTCACATGTTCTCCACAGGGCCATGTGGAAGTAAGGTCTGGAGTCCAGGGCCTGATATGGGTCCACCAGCGCTGTTTCCAACTTAGTCCCCGACATCACACCCATAGAACTACAGAGGCCTCAGAGAGGGGCAAAGCCCAGCCCAATTCACCTTTCAGAGGGATTATAGATAGCCCTCAGTAAGAGAGGAACAAATCAAAATCTCAAGAGATGAATTAAGTTTATTCAGAAATCTCATCAGTTTTGATAAGTCGATGGAGTTATTACCATTCTAGTAGCCCACTTATTTACTCAACAGCACTTAGTAGATGTTTTCTGTGAGAGTGCATTGTGCCAAGCCCTGCTACAGGGCACAAGCATAAAAACATTTGTTTTAAAGCGACCCAAATTTAAAAAATTACTCGTAATTTTGTGCAGTTACGTGTACAAATTTTCTTGAGCCTTAATGTGCTATAGCACAAGTCCAGAATGTTTTGCGACATGATTGTCCAACACTTTGTGCTATCAAGGCAGGTCATGTTCAAGTGAGGTTGGTATTCATGTGCACTGATGACTGAACTTGCACAACGTGGGATTACGATCTGCACATTGTACAGTTTGCTGGAGCCGTTCGTCTTAATGTGACGTGATGCTGAAAATGTAGTACGTTATAATATCATTCATCAAGACAAAAGAAATCATTTGAACGGGGAGCAAATCTGTATTTTAAAAAATTAGTTAGAAGTCAACAGGGGCAAGGGGCTGAACAGTGAAGCGAGGTTGCAAATTCTCGCCTGGCTCTGAATCCACTGATGGGGGAGAACCACTCCATCTTTTGCCTGTTAAATGATGACACAAAATGACATGGATGACACAAAAATAGGTGGGAAGGCAAGGACTCTACGGGAGGTGTCGACAAGTTCAGTGAGTGAGCAACAACTTAAGTAAATGCAATATAATGTGGGAAAATGTAAGGTTTTGTACTTTAGCAGGAAGAATAGAAGAGTTGATTATTATTTATATCTGGAAAGGTTTCAGAAAGTTAGCAGCCAAATTGAGCAGATAATGGAGAAGACAGATGGAAGGTTGGCCTTTATGTCAAACGGAATGGTGGGTTAAAAAAAAGGGAAGTCTTGTTAAAACATGGAATACTGTGAATAGCTTTGGTTCCCTCCTCTAAGGTAAAATATGTCGGCAATGGAGGCAGTCTGGAGTATGGAGATATTTTCTTAGGTTGGAATTACACTCATTGGGGTTTAGAAGAATGGGATTAGAATACTGAAACATACATGATTCATAGGGTACTTGAAGGGGTAGATGCTGAAAGTTTGTTCCCTCTTGTGAGACAGTCTAGGAGTAGAGGGCATAATCTCACAGTAAGGTCACACGTTTAAGACAGAGATGAGGAAGAATTCCTTCTCTCTGGAGGAAAGTGGTTCTGTGGAATTCTTTACCACAGAGGGCTGTCAATTATGGGTTATTAAGTATATTCAAGGCTGAGATAGATTTTTAATCAGCAAGAATTCAAAGGTTATAGGGAAAAGGGTGGGAAAGTAGGGTTGAGGATTACCAGATCGGCCATGATCTCACTGAATGGCACTCCTTTTGTTCTACATCATTGGGTCTTATAGACCTAAGTGGAAGATGTGCAAAAGGTGTTGTCTCACTTCCTAGTGGCATTTTGCCATAGTCCAAAACCAACTCATTACTCAACAAGTATTGACAATCTGATACAAAGTGGGCAGCTCAGTGGCCAATGAGAAAGGTTTACTCTGTAGTGTTTGTTGGTGAATGAGATTTCACTCGGAGATTGGTTGTCCCATCTCTGCCCCAGAGCAAAGCAAGCTGGCACTGGGTAAATCATTGAAACCTTGTTCTCTTTTTCTCACCTTCAAGAGGGGGAAAAAAAATCAAAACAAAGATTTGGAAAAGAAAGAAAAATATGGTGCTACATCTCTCAAATTTCAGTCAGGCCCTGATAGCACTCCTTGATTGGCAATCGTGTGAATACCAATGTTTCATAACCATGCACACAACCAGGATGTTATTGGCAGGACGTGGGCTAGCTGGAAGCATATGATATGATTATATCATTTGATATGATCATTTTGACCATCAGAAGCCGGGAGCATTCAGTAATGGACTTATGAATGCACCATGGTTACTTCCAGTGTGTCTGGTATTGAGTGCGGGCTGCTCTGCATGTTCTATCGCAGAGTCTGCAAATCAAGGGGCTTGACATCATTCCAGTTGAGGCATTCGGTCTGAGGATGGTGGCAATGTCCTGTGGGAAACTGCACGAAAATACCACTGGCAACCAGGAAGCTGGGAAAACCCCAGTAAAATAAGTTGTACCATAGCCGCCTTGTGGAATTGCCAAAAGAGATGATTTGTCCCATTCTCCTTTGAAGTAGCATCAGTGACCTGGCAGACATGACAGAGATCCCTTTTAGCAGCAGGAAATGGTCACCTGCTGTAAAAGGTTGTGTCCAATGGCTACCATTGTAGCCAGAGAGAGGGAAGCTGATGAATGAATCATGCAATAAATGACAAAGCTGCTTCTTTGGTTAAGTGTGCACTTGTCACACACAACCCTTCAGCAAAGTTTGTGCTCCCTGCATTATTCCATTGGTGCAGGAATAATAAATGGTGGCTGTTATCTCTATCAGAGCTTTCCAATTCTCCATTGCTTCATCCTGTGCTGGTCTTTGTTCTTTGCCTTGGTAACAGCACACAAGGTTGTATCCATAGGGAATGTCATGCCAGCTTCTGAGAACCTTCGCTATCAGTAGGGTGGAGTGAAAGGCAGCCAAAGCCCATCATGGCAAGCCCAGGTTGGTTCAGTAGAATGATTAATAATAAATTGATTTCCAATTTGTCGGTGACACTCGCCTCAGACACCAGTCACCTCCACCTCACTTTGGGTGGGCACTGGTGCACTTTGCCAACTCTCAGCCTGAGCTGCTCGAAGTCCATTAATATTCTTGAAGGAGAAGCCAGCACAATGGAAGTAGAAAAAGGCTTCATGGTGGGTTTGGGAAAGGCTAGAAAACACACTGGATCACAAGAAGGGCAGTTTTAGAGTTGGCTGTCATGATTATAAACCAAAAAAAACATGGAGCACATTCACCTTCACAATATTTGTCACCTCACACAAACCAGTTGCAATTCATTCAGGTTGTATGTGGAAACTGAATAAGTATGTCTTACTTTTACAGAATTCACGAGAAATTGTGGCGTAGTAACAGTTAAGACGAATACATGTATTTATTTCAAATGTGAGTGATTCCTCTCCTCTCTGAAAAATGGCAGACTTCTACCTTTGCTGCTGGGCTGTAGATCATTGGGCTGAGCATGGGGACTGACAGAGGGGTAATGAAGGGGTGAAGGCTATGAGAGCCATTCTTTCTATTCATCCCAACTGTCCCTGCTCCGAAGCTGCGGTTCCCTCCTATCCCAGGATTCCCACTCTGCCTGCCTCCTAGCCGGGAAGGGGTGGCGAGGTGTTTACTGAGATTAAAACACGAGACCTGAGTCGAAGCAGCAGGCTCCAGCTCCAGCGACATTTCAAGGGAGTGTGTGTGTACCACTGCCTGCAAATAATGATGCTCAGCATTTTCGCTGCGAGTTTGGATACTTTTCCCATCAATACCAAGGAGCCTTACAAATGTCCAATACACTCCAGTGTTCAATTAAAGCAGCAGAAGAGAAAATAAAAATTCAAGGGTTGTGGGGAAAGGACAGGGATTATCTACATTGATCTTGCAAAGATTCTGAGGAAGGGTCACCGGACCTGAAACGTTAACTCTGACTTTTTTTTTCACAGATGCTGCCAGACCTGCTGAGCTTTTCCAGCAACTTTGTTTTTGTTGCAAAGATCCTGCATGGACGTGATGGACCGGATGCCCTCCGGCTGTACATTTTATGAATATTACCATGCTACACTGCACTGTGGCCTTGAGGGGCCAGCAATGGCGTTCCTGCTGCCACGCCACAACAGAACTTCAGACCATTTCAGTGTCCACGTCTTCCACTCTCCAGGTGGAATGCACCAGAATCCATATCATCGATATCATTAACCACAACACCCTTTCTCAGGTCAACAGTTACCCACTAAGCATGCAACACAGACCAAGGTTCTGCAGGTTTAATTGGAGCTGTGATCTACTGAGAGCTGCAAGGGGTCTAGGAAATATGAACAAAGTATGGCAGCCAAGATCCACTATGTCAGACAGCTCATTAGACACGGGTCATTTACTCCCCTAAGCCCTGGCACTAAATCATTACAACCAGCCAACTGAGAAGGAGACAAATAAGAAGCAAGGCACACACGTACCCTACACAACCTTTTCTCCTAGATGTCAATATTAGTAATACTAGTTCTCATTATCAACAGCACGGAATCCCAACACAATTTCGCCATCAGCTTAAGTTTAAAGAAAAAACTGCTGACAAAATATGCAGTTTGTGGCAGGATGTGACACTGCAAAGAAACAGAAAGATGTAAAAGACTTTGTTATTAATCAAGTATGAGAACAAAATAGTAGGGTGTTTCCCATGAATACACATTGCCAAAACCATAAAATCCCCACACTGTGGAAGCAGGCCATTCGGCCCATTGAGTCCACACCAACCCTTCAAAGAGGGTCCCACCTAGATCAACCCCCCACCCCCATCCCTGTACCCCTGGCTAACCCATCTAGCCTACACATCCTTAGACACTACGGGTAATCCACTTAACCTGCACATCTTTGGGAGGAAACCAGATCACCCAGAGGAAACCCACGCAGACACGGGGAGAATGTGCAAACTCCACACAAATGGTTGCCCGAGGATGGAACTGAACCCGGGTCCCTGGTGCTGCGAGACAGCAGTTCTAACCACTGAGCGACTGTGCTGCCCCATATAACCTGAGAGCTGTTTGTGATTAAACATAATCACAGATAAAGATGGGGACAATGTGGAGTGGTGGTGGGGCTGGGGCTCGGGCTGGGCATGGGTGTATGTTCTTGACTTGATGTGCCTCCTTTTCACTTCTCCCCAGAATCTGGTCACGATTCATCGACGTTTTCGGTGAGAGCTGAACTGGATGGGGAACTGCTCAATCAGGCAATCAGACACTCAGTCTGATCACTAGCTGGGCTGTGATCTCCAAGCATGTTCAAATCTGATTGGACCCACTCAGTCTAAAGATGACAGGTGAAATAACAATGGCCAAAACGGCTTCAAATGACAAAAACGTGCAGAGATGAGCAGGAACGATGTTATTCTCCTAGTGCTTTCTGTTTGGCATGGATGTATGGGAGTAATCTTTCAAAAGGGAGTCTGTGGATTACCTATCCCAGAACGTTCATGACTGCACTCAGCAGCCAGAAACCCTACTCACTGGAGCGTCTCCCAACTGGGAATTCAGTAATATGGAAAGGGGTTGGGCTCCATTATTACTTTAAAGGAATAATCCCAGATCAGTCAGCTCCATTGATCCCTCAACGGTGTGTGCACAACCAACAGATATTTTGACACATTCCACCGTGTGAGTCACAACACTCTTTTTAAGCAAGGCATAAAAAAAACTAACATCACCACAATGACCGTTAACGCCATTCTGAATTAGTCAGTTCCAAACCAGCAAAAGTTAGTCATCTAACAGGATCTTTGAAAGAAGGCAAGCTGATCGGATGTGCTTTTGAGATGACAGTGTAACTGCACGTAACAAATAAAATGTGCATTTTGGGGAGAGAAATGTACTTTTTATACAAATGAGCTCAAACATTTCTGTTTTGATCAGCGTTTCAAGTGCAATTTAAAGGGAGATGGGGCAAAAGAAACAAGGACGGGGTATATCAGCATCTGCCATTCTTAATTTGTGTAGCAACTATGGTCTAGCAATAAAAATCCTACTCTTGTGTGCCACAGAATACAACAAGCATAACGGTAAAAAGCAGCCAGCAAAGAAAGACAAAAGAGCAGTATCTGTGAAGCAAAACAGAAAAGTTATCCGCTGGTTTCTGCTGCCCTTACCTGTTCCCAGAATGGGACATTTCTCGCAGTTTGTGCCCCAGGCCTTGCCAACGCTGCAACAGCACATCTGCTTGCTGAGCTGCACAGACAGAGGGTGCATGCACTGCTTTCCTGCACTGACAAACCGGTAGCAGGGCCCTTTCTCTTCAATTAAAAGATTTTCAGCTGCAGCAGAGAGAGAAACAAAAAAGGAAGGGAGGTTGCCAGAAATGATCTAAGAGAGAGAAAAAAAAACCTGCAGAAATTCCATCACCAGCTGACAAGGACAGAACAGCGAACAAAGCTTAAAAAAAATCAACATACATTAAGGCGTGACTATGTGTATATACATATGTGCGCCAACATAGACACATTTGGAGCATCCTTTGTACCAGATTAAAGCCCCAGGACATGAAGGATACAGGTTTTACATTGGCAACCATCTGACAAATACATGAAGTGTTAAACCTTATGAAAAGCAACATGCTCCAAGCAATAATGGGCAGGTTGTGAGTACCTTGTTACATGCACCTGTGTTAGTACAGCAGTAGCTTTAGCATTCAGGAATGGCAGACAATTTCCATTACGCTCGAAACAAAACAAAAACGTTTAAAAAAAAAATACAACTACCTCCAAGGTCACTTCATTGAAATGACTTTGGCATGCTGGCAGACAAACCAAATCATTCCCTTTGGCAGGCAATTGAGGCAATTTTCTTCCTCATTCCAATCGGAGTTTGGTTAGTTATAACTGTATTAGACAAACTACATGTGCAGAATGTTTATCTTCTGTTAAATTGTCATTCTTTCTTGACAAACAGGCCTGTGTGGTGCCTAGCTAACATGGGACAGTATGTGCAGTTTAGTCCTACCAAATACAATTGAAGTCATTCAGCATTCTCAAAAGGGTACCAAGCTTAGCCAAAGGAAAAGCTCCACTTTGACCTTTTGCACATCCCATTCCCATGGTATCCTTAAAAAAGGGGGATAATTAAGTACTGAAATGGGCTGAATCAGACCTACAGAGCCAAAAACAAAATTACAAAAAAAGCCTCATTTTGCAAACATCCAAAACTGGGAGTGGTGAAGTAGCCTCTGCAACTGACTTGTGCAGCCAAACACTCCTGCAGAGTTCAAATAGGCTCCCTCCACCACGATGGGTCAAGGGAGCTTTGGCAGCACAAATGGTCTGAGCAGCCAATGAGATGCAGGCACTCAAGGTGTTGCTTCATTTCCCTGCATCAATGGTAACCAACAGAGGGAAATAGGCCAAAGCAGAACTGGCATCTACAGCTGGTTCCAGTGTAACAGCAGCATTCATTCCAGTACCATTGCTGCGATGCCACAGTCAACGCCACGGCTTAACCCCTCCCCAAGAGTCTTAAATTTGGGTTGTCTGTTTGCAGAACTTTATGGAGAAGTGGTGAATGCAAACGGTCAACAGAGAAGGCCCAGTTCTGTAGCCATCTACAAAACTGGTGCCAGGAAGTTTTATGAAGCATCTGCAACAACTACATTGGTGTCAGGTTGACAGTACGTTCAAATAATGCCTAGGAAAATACAATTGTTACCACTTAACATGCTGTCTTTGATGATAACTTTCTTTCACAGCTGCTTACCCAGTGTGAAATTTTATACAGATATACATTGGTAAAATGTGGAATTCGGTTTGAATTTATGCTTTCTCCATTTTACATTCACAACAGCATTTGAGAATGAATTCACAACCATAAACTAAACCCAGCTGTGTTAGGTTTTACACGGTGTCCATGAACATTAATGACATGACATATTTTGACGGCAATAGAAGAAAAAAGTAGTTGACCTGCAATTAAACCAGTTTACATGACATTTTAAAGTTACAGTATACAATGCTTTCAGTCACTTTCTCTTGGCAGAGAGCTGTAATAGTGCCCCAAAACTTGTAAGGAAGAAGCACAGTATGGTACAAGGAGAGGCCAAGTTTATTCTGCCAGTGAGGAATACCCTATTAAAACCTGAATGATAATCTCAAACAGCAGGATTTCTTTTTAACAAACTTGGTTTCCTGCCTATCGCCACTATGTGTTTTTGCCTATATTGCAAAAGAACCCTTAAACATGCTAAATAGAACCATAGAAATGATACAGCACAGAAGGGGGGTCATTTGGCCCATCCTGTCCATACCAACCCAAAGACACCTAGGTGCCCTTTCTAATCCCATCTTCCTGCACGCCACCCATAGCCCTGCAGCTTACAGTACTTAAGGTGCAGATTCAGGTACTTTTTAAAAGGGTCTAGCCAACACTAACTCAGGCAGCAAATTCCAGATGCCCACCACCCTCTGCTTAAAAAAGATCTTCGTCACGTCCCCTCTAATCCTTCTGACAATTAGCTTGAATCCATGACCCCTGGATTTTGAACTGTCGGCCAAGGGAAACAAGATTCTCCTGCCTATTCTATCTCTGCCCCTCACAATTTTGTATACTTCAATCATGTCACACTTCAGCCTGTTCTGCTCCAAAGAAAACAACCCCAACCTCTCCAATCTCTCCTCATAGCTAGAATTCTCCAGCTCTGTCAACATTCTAGTCAATCATCTCTGCACTTTCTCCAGAGCAATTACATCCTTCCTGTAACGTGATGACTAGAACTACAGAAAACGCTCCAGTTGTGGCCTTGCCAGTTTCTCATACAGTTCATCATTATATCCCTACTTGTGTATTTTATAACTGCCAATGAAGGAGAGCATTCCATATGTCTTCTTTACAACCTGACCTACCCGTACTGCTACCTTTAGGGACCTGTGCACTTGCATGTCACGACCTCTCTCTTCATCCATCCCTCTCAGTATACTCCTGTTTATTGTGTGTTCCCTTTAAAGAGTTTGACCTCCTGAAATGCATCACCTCACACTTATCAGATATAAAACTCCCGCTCCCCCCCCACCCCCCACAGGTTCAAATCCAAATCGTTAATGTATAAAACAGCCAGGGTCCCAACACCGAGCTCTGCAGAATACCGCTTGAAACAGTTTTCCATTCATGAGGGCAGCTGTCAACCCTTACCCTTTGTTTCCTGTTAGTAAGCCAACTTTGGATCCAATTTGACACATTACCCTGTATCCCATGGGATTTTACTTTTTTGACCTGTCTGCCATGTGAGACCTTGTCAAATGCCTTACTAAAATCCATGTAGACAGCATCCATTGCACTGCCCTCATTGATCCTCCTTGTCACTTCCTCAAAAAATTCAATTACATTTGTAAGGCATGACCTTCCCTTAACAAAGCCATCCTGACTATCTTTGACAAGTCCCATGCCTTTCTAAGTGACAGTTTATCCAATCTCTCAGCATTGATTTTAACAATTTACCCACCACTGAAGTAAAGCTAATTGGCCTATAATAGTTTGGCATTTCCTTTCTACCCTTTTTAAACAACGGAACCACATTTACATTCCTCCAGTCCTCCGGCACCTCACCTGTGTCTGGTGAAGATTGGAAAATAATCCTCAGAGCATCTGTTATTTCCTCCCAGACCGCCTTCAACATCCGCGGGAATAATCCATCCAGCCCTGGTAACTTATCCACTTTCAAGGATTCAAACTCCTTGAATGCTTCCTCTCACAGTATGATTATTTTGTCCAATATTTCACATTACTCTTCTCGGATTACTATATCCACATCATCCCTTTCGTTTGTGAATATGGAGATGAAGAATTCATTTAAAATTCTTCCCATATCCTCTGCATCTTCATACAAGTTCCCTTCTTTATCTCTGACAAGGTTTCACTTTTTCTTTAACTATCTTTTTGCTCCTTAAATACTGGTAAAACATGTTTGAATTTTCCTTTATCTTATTCACTAATATTTTTTCATGCCCTCTCTTTGATTTCCTCATTTCTTTTTTTTACTTGTTCCCTGTACTTACTATACTCCTCTAGGCTATCTGCAGTGTTGAGTTTTTTGTGATTACCATAAGCTTTCTTTTGCTGTTTAATCTTCCCCTGTATTTTTCTAGACAACTATGGTGGGGGGTGGAGGGGGGGGTGGGGGTGGGGGGCGGGGAGGCAGTGGTGAAGAGTTGGGGAGGAATCCAGATTTGGCAGTACCATATTTAATTTTGAAGGGGGCATGTCTGCTTTGTGCCCTAAGGATCACATTTTTTAGTGCCTTCCACTGGTTTACCACTGATTTCTCCTTTAGCAGACTTGTCCAGTCTACCTCTACCAAATTAATTCTCGAGTTTGTAACACTTACCCCCCACCCAGTTAAAAACTTTTACTCCCTTTTATCTCTGTCCCTTTCCAAATACCAAATCTAACCGAATTGTGATCACTAAATGACCAAAGTTATTAACTACAATCCATCCAGAAATTTAGAAAAGCTGCTATCCTTACATCCTGTCTGTGGCATCAGGATAAAAGAAAAAAAGAAGTACTTTTTGCATAATACATTTCTTAGGAATGGGAGGAATCAACATTTAACCTTCCAAGTCTCTGATGTGTGCAGAAATGTTCTATTTTTAAAACAGATATGAATGAGACATGAAAATTAGGAGCATCCCTTGAAAGGCTAGCTAGCCCTTCAAAGTAGATTTAAGCTGTGCGAGAACGTAAAACAGGATTGAGTCACAAATGTCACTCTTTACATACGCCCTGTTCCATTTTCTATTCCACTGACTTCATGCGAAATGTTCCCACCTATTTCACATTCCTGCCCAAACAGAATTTCTCTCTCCGCATTAGTTCACCCCCGACCCAGAGTCCCTTAGAAGCTATTTATTCATCTTTGTGATTTTCACTAATGGGTGCAGCAACGTTCCATGACTGAAAGACACCTTGGTCTTCAGGAAAGGATTGCGAATCATTTGATTTTTCTTTTCAGCTGGGATTGGGCAACCAGTCTAATACTTACAGAAAACCAACTTTGGAAATGCATGCGAAGTTTTCAGGGGCCTGGGGACACAGTTTCAAACAGGTCCTGGAAACGTTCTGGTAAATATTACTCACAGACACAGGCAGTCTGTGAAGGACCTGGGACAAACCCAGGCTCACATGTGCACCTATAACTGCCCAGGGTATTCAGGCATTCTCTATGTGAGCACACCTCTTGGAGTTGGCATTCATTGATATCTACAAAACAAGAAGTTGTATATAAGTGGGCATCCAGGACTGGCAATGATGCCACTATTGTAGCATCAACAAA